GCCCTGATTTGGGAGACTGCATGAGCTAATGACTAATGATGGTGACACTTCGTCTTAGGGAATAACTTGGGGAGTAACTTGTGTGGATGCAAGTTAAGCTAGTTCGTTTTAAGGCCAGAGAAGGGTAGAAGAGCAATGAGAGCTCCTACACAATGTTTCCCAGGGCTGTAGTTCACAGAAGGAGCTGAGCAATGACATACACAAGCAGTATATCAAAGGATCACATCTTCAGGCTGGGGGACTTGCCGTCCCTGAACTGAATCCACATAAGCTGGAAACATTAAAGAGGTAACTAGGCTTTCCTAATCAAAAAATGTAGGAGACTTAGCATCACATGAAGGACCAAAATACAGCTCAGCAGAGCCTTGAGACGACAGTGAGCTGACAAGGCATAAAAATGTTGAAAGGCTTCTCCAGAGAGAGCTCCCAGGGCTTGGGTGGTGGTTGTGGCGGCTGCTCTCAGGGCCACCTTAGAGATGATGTAGCTGCTGTACTTGAAAGGAAGACATCAAAGGAGCTTCCCAAAACTTCCCTGCTGCAAAGCCGAAGCACGGGAGCCAGCCCTTCTCTTGGGAGCTGTCCTGCAGCTGCTTGGCCATGTACCCTTGTTGTGGACCCTGCCCCAGACTGGCTCTTCACTCCCCACTTGCCCTGGGTCATCCTCATCCCCACTGCCTGGCCTGGTGATGCGGCCTGGGGGCTGCACCCTGCTCCCTCACAGCATGGCGGCAGGGCCCTGGCTGGTGAGGCTCTCCCCGCTGGCGCCAGGCAATAACTTTGCTTAAAAATACACATTTTTTACAGAAGCTCCCCTAATTTCTCCTCTTCCTCTTGCCTATTCCCCTGGACGGGGAGAATCAAGAAACCAACTTTCTATCAGCGATGCATTTCAGCATTTTCTGCCATGGTGACAGCTCCACAACACAGCATTTGACACGTCCTTCCGCTGCTGTAGGGATTGAAGAGCTCTCTGCAAACATCCATCATCTCACAGATGATCATCTCACAGACTGAGATAATTTCTGAAATAATTGGATGACAGAGAACCTGAGGTCTCTCCTAAGCAACTAAAAGGGGTGACTAGGTAAAAAGGTGAAGTGGTGAAGGAAACAAAAACAGAACCGAAAGTGTCTTCCTCAAGGGATGTACAGCCCAGCCATGATACATGAGAAAATGAACAAAAAGAACACAACAAAACAAAACGGTAGCATGGACACTAAAAATGAATCCACAGTTGTCTACAGCAGACCCCAGGGTTGCTGTCAGATAGCCTCTGGCAATTAGGAAAGGCTGAAACACCAACATTTGGGCAGATATATTCACAGATCATTCCTCATTAAATCTGCTGAAATTTCACCTCACATGGCAACACCTGATGCTGGCCCTTGCTGCAGCAGCAGAGGATTTTCAGGTCCTCATGAGGCATTGCTGGCTGCCTGGCAGCATTCTCTGCCCTGCTCCATGTCTTATTATTGTTCTGAGTCACTGTGGCAAAGTAACGAGGTTCTGCTCCTCATGCATGACAGGGACCCAAAGCCGCCTCAAGCTAGGATTGCGGAAAACCCGGGATCATTCCTGGCTCTGCCAGGACATGTTGGCCAGCCCTGAATGAGTCAGTCTGCATCACTTCACCTGTTTCCTATTCAACCTCCTCTGTGTCTAGCAGAGCACAGGCAGTGATTTTCCCTCACATAGCTCACGTGTGTCTGGGTCCTGGCATAGTTCCTTTAGCATGATGGATATTTTAGCAGCGCCACAATAGAATACTAATAAGTAGATGTGTTGCCCCTATTTTAACTGGGAATCTCCAATTTAAGCACTCAACATAAAGTATTGGCAAACTTCAAGCCTTCCCTTATGTGTCCCACCAGTGTCTTTATCTTGATCTGGAAGAACAAATCCACGCACAAGAAAACCATCTAGCTTCTCATGGACTGAGAAGTCCATGAATAACAGTAGAAAAACATACACAAAAAAGCCCTACTATAATTAAGAAATTAAGTCAATCACAGAACTATATTTTAAAGGTAAGATTGCAGAGTGGAGAAGCGACTGAGAATTTTGTATGGAGCTTGAGTAGGTTTTTGCTTTTTGAAGTCCTGTAGCTGGTAGAATTGGTCCTCTGCCCTGACTGTCGAAAGCACGTCACTGTAATGAATGTGGCCTACGTCAGTGACACGGGTCTTTCATCAGAGACACTGAAGTGTTTTCAGTGACACGCTGTGTTAAATGAGGATTGATCCTGTCACATATCTCCACAGTTCAAGGAACAAAAAGAGGCGGGAGAGCTGATTGACTCTGTGAGGATGAAATCAGAGAAGCTGAGCATAGAAATTCACAAGATAACAGAGATAAGTACATTTGAGGTCTTTTCTGACCAAAGAAATGTAAGCTGCTATTTCTTTTCACAGACTTTTAGATGAATAAACAAAATTCCTCAAAAACATGTATTACTTATGTCATCAATTGTGGCGAATGATTACGCGGACCCCTATTTGTATTTAATCAGAATCAGGATTCCTTTGTTGCTCCAATGAACACCTTATATATTAACACCATGTCTGCTAGAGCAAATCAGCTTTGGATTCATGGCCCTGCAGATGCCAGTGCTGACCCCGTGCTGCATCCTACCCCTCTCTGAAGTAAGTTTCGCATGGGAACAGCGAAGGGACGACCAGTCTGCACTGGTCCTTCCAGGTCATGGGAGAGCGCTGTTCCGTCTCAAGCTGTACTGTCTGCCGCAGTCAATGCTTGGTTCAAATGGAAATAAACCTGGAAATCTGGATTTTGCCCCTTTGGGAAATGGTATTGTCCTGTCTGTAGAGAGGCAAGCGTGCAATGGTTTGTGGTTTACAAACAACTAAAACTATCCAAGACATCACTTATTGTAACTGTGTGCATCTTTGCCTTCTTTAACAAATACACAAAAGAGCTATAAACCAAAATGGCTGTTTCAGCTTTATTCTGCATTGGTAAAATTACTATGCAAGGCCAACAGTGAGTCTGGTTTATAATTCTAGCTCCCCAGGTTTCATGGTATGTCTGCAGTGTATAACAGCATATAGAACCTGGCTCTGCAGCAGTTTAGCTATTACTGACATCATTAAAGCAGCAAATTAATCATTTTGGAGTTTGGTTTTCTTTTTTTATGGCCACCTTTGAACCTTGACAAAAAAAAAAAAAAAAAAAAGGCACAGCCCCTCATTTACGAGGTAATAAACCTCTTTTAAGGCAAGATGCCACAGGTATTCCTGCACCATCTCCTTATTGATACTGTTTTTAATTTTAGAACCATCGATATTTTAGTTAGACAGCAGGAAAAGAATAAGATGAATTACCTAATGCAATGCTACAATACCTCTGAAATGATTATTCAGTTACAACATACCACCATAGAAAGACTGATTTTTAGTAAAAGGCTCTGAAAAGATACGGAGATCTCTTTGAAGCCTAAGTGTGCACCCATATCCACCCACACACATGCATCCTCATTCAGCGTCGTCTTTGCTGTTACTGGACTTTAGGATTCTCTCCTACTGCTGCTTGCTTTCCCTAGCTATATGTGCTTTTTGCTAGTAAAGAATGACTCTCAAACATTATAGCTGTTCATTTGGGGAATTTACCTCACAAGTAGGATGATGCTTTTATTTTTTAAAGGCTAAGCCAGTTCTTCTAAGCTTTGCAAAGTGGGAGGATGCGCTTGATGAGAGTTGGCAGCCCTTAGGCTGAGCAGGATCCTCTGCAACTACCAAAGTGGACGAGAAGGCACAGAATTCACACACATGCCTATGAAAACGCAGTCATTAGTGTTTTTGAAATGATCAGATACAGTTAGGATGAAGACTGTAAAAATATCCAGAAGAAAATTGATTATTCCATGCTAGAATGAGTTTGAATTCACCACAGAAAGATGCAGGGTCAGGCAATGATTCTGGAAGATAAAATGAGGTATCTATCGGTTTTGCCTTTTCCTGGCCACAATCCAGCTTGTTCTGTGAATGAACTTAGGGCCCAGGGAAAAATAGATGTGACTGATATATAATGAAAGGCCTTGACTTTGAAAGCTTACATATAGAAGGAGAATGATTTACAAAACACACACACACAAGATGTTTTTATTTCAAAGTGTTTCTAAAATACATTAGACTAAATGCCAATTCACACGAAAATGCTTAAAACTAGGGCTTTCTGCTGGATAAGAATTATATATAAAGCGGATGGAATAATGAATCAAAATCCTTTTTAAACTGACAGTGACTGTCCTTGGGACAAGACCTTGAAGGGCAGCATCTCAGCTGGGATGTGTTGGCTAAGTACCAACAGAGCTGTGCTACTCTGTGGGCACTGAGGATATGGCCATGTGTTAGTAAATAGCATAAATGTTCAATATTACTATCCTGGATAGACTATCTGCTTTTTATAGCACACAGGGTACTTGGTTTCTGGTTGTTAGTGAAAGTGGAGTGCAATTCACAGCCAGTTTTCCAAGAGGCTCGTGGGAGTCAGGACTGAGAGGACAGCTCTAAAGCAACGCCCTGTTTCAGGAGCGATTGCCTTTTCTGTGCTGTGGCTTTCTGATCTCTCTCATTTCTAATAGCAACAGCCACACAGCAACACCGGACTGCAGTGGTCTGCCTGCACGGCAGCAAAACGCCAGCGAACACGCTCACAAATCACAGCAGCCTCTCTCCGCGAGGGTGTTTGCATCCACACTCATGCAAACACGCAGGTCTGGAAAGGAAGGTGGGCTCATTTCTCCCAGCCTGGCGCTTGCTTTGCGCTTCCCAGGGAGGATCCTGCTGGTGCTTTCCGGGTCACGGAGTACCTGCCCCCTCTCCCCCGGTGCTGCAGGCAGTGCGGCAGCCCCCTCCTCGCTGGCCGCGAGCTGGCCGCGCTGCTGCAGAGCTAACACCGTGTCTGCCCATACAGTCTGTGCCCTGCTCGCCATGCCCACGGGCCGTGGCAGAATGGGGATGTTATATTTTGTGCTGTAGCCGGTGATGGAAGGCAGCCTCCAGCACCAGGTCACTTGGCAGCAGGGCAGCGCGTTGCCTCCGCGCCCCTTCGTTGCAAGGAGCGACTCCACAGACCTCGCTGCCCTACGGTCCCGTTTAGGTCGGCTGCTAAAACCTGCAGTGAAGGGTAAAGCTCACAGCACGCTCAGCTCCTGCTTCGCTAAAATTAGAAAGCTCGACAAAAGCTGGTGCTGGTGTCATCTCTGCAAGGTACAGAGCAGCCCCAAAGAAGTGACATTGCTCAGCTTTCAAAGCAGGGGTGGCTAAATATAGGCATTGCTTTGATGTATGGGTGCCCCTGTGCCAGTGCAGCCTAAGAAAGCAGTCACAGAGTTCCCAGATGGGACAAGGCAGGGCTGAGATGACCCGTGTCATTGGCATCTCCGCGGCAAGGCGGTGACGACCACGCTAGTCGTGCTAGTGCCTCAGCCTGTGTGAGCAGGGCTGCCCGTGAGGTCAAGCCTGCGCCCCCGTGGGGGAAGATGACTCCTCCGAGCAGCACTCCCTCTTCCCCCCACGTTTCCCATGAAATGGAAGAAATCTGGCTCTGACACGAGGCGTCTGTCTCATGAGGAACGGCACGAGGGCGCAGCGCTTTCCTGGGCGGCCGTTACTGCTTTACCTTGGTGACTAATCACCGCTCCGTAAGCGCAACAGATTCCTCAGCTGAGATTCAAGGTGTTCCACTGATTTCTCCATCATACCCAGTGGAAAAAGAAAGGTTGTTGCTTCCACATCCGTAAGCATGGAATTAAGTGGCTGTAGAGGTAATAATGTAAGAATAGCCAAACCTTCCGTTGCCTCTAAGAAATAAAAGAGGGCCTAGGAGCCCGAAGTACGAGCTGGCTGGGTACGTGCTCCCTTTTCATTTGGAAAGACATTCCTGGATCACGCTCTTTCCATGCAGCTTGAGAAACGCACCCCGTCTGCCGCTGTGCAGCTTTCGGATGACTTCAGCTGCTACAAAAAGGAGATGATCTCATCATCAAGACTTAAAGACGCATCACCCTCGCTTTTCCCCTCACCCAGAATGAAGCGGAATTTCAATTTATTAAGCCCAAAGCCAGGCATAGCTATAAAAGGGGTGACCTGGGTGATGAAAAGCTATTAGCTTTTAACCCCTTCTCACCTTGCAGCCCATATTCCCCAGATGGACTGTAAGGGTACTGGTACTGTCACAGAAAAAAAAGACTCTGTATTTCCATTTAACTGTAAAAATTTGTGTGAAGTGCATATTGCATCCCACGTGCAGACCCTTGTGTATCCACGACTTCAGTGCAGAAATCATTCATGGTCCTGCACTCACTGCATTTCCCAGCTAAACCTTCACAAATGTCTTTCATCAAGACATTTCCTAGACCCTTTTCTAACATTAATGAAGCTTCAAACATCTCTTAGAAGCAGTTGGAAGCTGTGTTGCCAGGACTTGCTTTACCAGGAAAGTTCAGCTGCTCTCGAGGTGCAGCAAAACAGCTATGTAATAACCTACTGTCGCAATATGGTTAAAGGGATAAGGTTTATGCCACTGAAAAGAAAGGGTGAATTAATATGAGTAAAACGTAGAATGATCTCAGCTGAAAGTTGCCCAGAACGCCAGCAATTACCGTGCCGTGAGAAGCCTTTAATGCCTGCTGACAGGAAGCAGGATTCTTACTCTGCCTTACACCCTAACCTAACGGGACAGGGCTAACTCTACAGAACACAAATCTGTAGGATTCTGAGTAAAGGCATGCTGCTAAGCCCAGCCTGCCAGCAACACTGTCACAGGGGGAATGGATGCATTAAAAAAATGTTGCTCAATATTTCCATTTACAACACAGAAGTGTCTTCGTGGAGAATAAACCCGTCCTTTGACCCTGCTTCCAGGTTTGAAGTCTGGGAAATTTTGATTTTTATGTGACTCTTGCTACAAACAACAAATCCAAACTGAAAGTGCGGTGATTCTTCACCCACACTCCTTTTAGCAAGTTTGCTTTGGGGGCAGCTGGGGTAAAGCTTACCAAGTAGTAGACTTCCAGGCAGAAAATTGGCTCAAGTCTGAAAAGGGACATAAAAATAAAGAAAAGACCAAAGGGAACAATTATTCTGAAGTTGAATTTGCAATAAACTGTCAAAATTAGAATGATATATTATTTAGACAGCACTTTCTGAATGGTGCTCTCTCAAGAGATGTTTGGACCTGTAAAGAACTGGGACTTCATTTGCACTGGATCTTCCCTTCTTATTATGCACTAAAGCCAAAATCTCTCTTCAGAGCACTTTCCTGCCAAAAATCTGACACCTTGAGACATGATGCCCCTTTAAAACTGCTATTGCACTTTGCTGTGCAGAAGTAGCCTCCCTAAAGTGTTAGCAAACCAGAAGATGACTGACGTGTGATGCAAAAATACTTGCATGATGTGATTTGCAAAATATATTATAATAGATCTATAGGTATTACTCAAAAGGCTTCCTGAAAGGAAAGGTGAACATGAGGAGAAAAATTAGTTCCTTGGGGAATCCCTTTACCCTTCAATGGCAGCCGCTCTTGGAGAAGCTTAAGGGCATTTTATTTGCAATCCTGTAAGTGCCAAAGCGGATCTGCAGCTGCTCCTCTGGGTGGTCCTCTGCAAACAGGGGATTTCTGTGATGGACTTTGAAGCATCATTGGCATTCAAGAGCATTCAGAAAACGTGCAGTGTAAGCGGGAGAGGGCAATGCAATCACAGGCTGCGTCCTTGCGGCTCAGCTGCGAGTCAAGCCCAGATGACTGTGGCTGTGAGACCCCTTGGAGGACCTCAGGCGTGGGACGCACATGAGGCATACCCAGGGGCTGCACTTCTTGCTTTTATGCTTTTCTTTTGCATTTGTAGATGCAAATTTAACTCTTTGGCTGGTTGGAATAAAGCTTGCCATTTCTCTTTGTGGTTCTTTGCGAGGATCACGAGGATGAGCCGCAGTGACTCGTTCCCCTTTATCACCGCAGAGAATGACATTAATGAGGGATTTTTGACACTCAGTCTTGCTGTGTGAATTAGAATTCCCAGCTGGGACTGCTGGAAGTGCCTGGCCCAAGGATCAATGGACTGAAGGGAGAGAGATTAACACAGAGCTATTCCAGTGACACTTTAGTGGCAGCACATTCCTCTAATGGCAGCATCTCTGGAATACATTATGTTACATTACTCGAATAATGATTTTTTAATAATTGTGAGTCACACTGCAAAAATATGAGTATATAATGAGTCTGTTCCATTGCCAACTGAACAGACAGCATGAAACACAACATAAAATACATCAGAATTTCAAAGAGGAAGAATTGCTCAGACCCATGAAAAGCCTCGTTCTAAATAACGAGCTCTCACTTACATAAATTAGGAATCCATATGCCCCACACTTCTGAGAATTAGCTCTTAATCAACTAGTGTAGATAAAAGGTGGTCCAAAATAATTCATTATAAAAATAATATTTGCTAAGCTTGGTTTTGAATTCACAAAAGAGGACTGTCCTGAGAAATCTGATTGGTAAAAGCACATTTAGTAGAGCAACAAGTCTAGCATGCCTGTGTGAGCTCTGGGGAGAGTTTTAATGCACCACTTCCACATCTCGAGCCTACTCTCTCGCAGTGGTTCATCCTGGGAACCCCCAAGTGCCGACTCCCTGTTCCCAGGCTGGCTGAGCTCCCCTTGGGTAGGCAGGGAATTACAGCGAGCCAATCTGGGTTTGCTTTCCAGGGAAAAACTATAGGGCAACCATTCCTTGAAAGAGGAAATCAAATCTTTTGCTTATTTGTACTACTGCAGAGTAAGGGGAGCCTGTACTGATCGCATAGAGGCACTGACCTGGAAAAACCATTAGTTCTTTGTCACTTCTCATTTAAGGCTAACCTTCTCGTTAGATTCAGAGGCAGTGAGGAGTGCAACGGGTGCCCTAGACTTGCAGTTATGCACAGGGTCCTATCAAGGAACCAGGGAGGTTTGATGGCAAGTAAAGCGGTGCTCCCTGTACACAAACGTAGTCCTGAAAACAGGCTTCTGAAACACAAAACAATTCCCGTAATCTATTCCTCTTACCCAAACCTGTGCATTTATTATGTACATAAATATGTGTCAATTTTAAAGAGCTGCAGTCAGCCTGGAAAATACCTGTTAGATAGGGGACTTTGAAATAAAATGAAACAGTTGCTTAAATAATAAAGAACATTTGTTGACATTTCATTTTTCAAGTACACTGTAGACCTAGCTACAGCAGTATGTGTGCATAATACATTAGGAAACAAAAAAATTAACTGTCTGCTTGCCAAATGAAGGGGTGTTTCTAAAATACTCAGATGCAAGATGTCTTACCTCCCAGGTCTCTTGGTCTCTTGCTTTTTCTCAGCTACCTTGAGGTCACACTACTTAGGAAGTCAATGCACCCTTCAAGAGGACTACTTCTCAAAAAATGTATTTTGTAATATATTGTCTCACTGTGAGACAACACACAGGTTGCCTAAAATCTCTGCAAATCATTCATTATCTGCTGGACGTGTAGACATTGCAGGTGCTACCAAAGGATTAACAGCTCTTGTTGAGCAGAGCTCTAAATAAACACTTTTGTTTTTCTGTAAAGCCAGTAGACCCGAGCAGTTTTTAGGTGTTTAAGTTGGGGAACGCGTCAATTTGATCTCTTCTGGATATCATCTTTATCACCAGTGCTGACATCCTTCACAAAATTTGCCCAGAGAGTTGTTGAGTTCTCCCAAGATTTTCTTTTTCATTGCTAATTATTAAGCCTGTCTTTCAGAGATGTTGGACAAACTGTCATAACCATGTTGTTTGGGGTGTCATAGCCTCATTGACAAAATCTGAATCTTCAGTTTTGATGCTGTTCAGCTATCTGATGCTGTATTAAACAAATGTTTACATCTTTCTTAAAGTTAAAGAGGAATCAAAAGAAGACATCTTCATTTGCCATTGAGGTCTATGTTTGACTTGAATCGAAAACCACTCCCTGAAGTTATGCTCACTGAATATATAAAGGTAAGCCTTGATAAAAACAAACAAACAAGCAAACAAAAAAACCTATTATTTTCATTGGATACCACAGCGTTTCTGGATTTTCCAGAATTACGTTGATACTGAAGGCTGTCAAAAGCTTTCTTAAAA